CTTTTATACAAAGAAAAAAGGTAAACCCAATACGCAGAACGCGTGTGTATAATATAATGCAGAAGTGTGTTGCATTGCCTAAGTTTTAGAAACGAACGCTTATTCACTGTTCACCAGTCCATGGATCATTTAGTTGTTCAGTTCTTTTAAAAACCTATTTTTTTCTTTTTCGTGTTACATTGATTTTTTTCCAGCTCTATTGTCCCTTTAGGATTGTCAGGGTCATAGGCCAAACAAAATCTAAAACTACTCCGACCTCGATATCTAATACGATCATGAAGTTATTTCGATTCTCGTGGAAGCCAGAAAATACCGTTCGTCAATTAGAAAAATGCACCTGGTCCATCTGGAACTTTACAGAAACACCAAGAATCTGCTTATCATAGAACCGCTTTGCAAAGTTTATTATTTAGGCAGACTGAAGGATCAGTAGCACAACAATTATTTAATGCTAGTGAATTGGAACGTCAAGAAAATCGTCAAAGATTTAGTGATTTATTAGATGGAGCATATTTTTTATTTAAGCATGAACTTCCACATACAACATTATATGAACCATTACTGGAAGTATTAACCAAAATTGATCATAGTAAAAAAGTATCAACATTTTTCGATAAATGTAAAAAGAATGGTTCTTATGATAGTACAGCAACAGTAACAGAATTATTAGAAGCAACAAGTGAAGTAATCGATAAGCAAATCTTAACGAAAATTCGTGAATCAAGAATTATATCAATTATGGCTGATGAAGGCACAGATATAAACCATCATCAAAACTTATCAATTTGTATACGTTATTGTAATCAAGATACAGGCCAGTATATTATTGCTTTGTATTGACTCGTAGGTGTTACCAACTGTTACTTTCTAGGTGAGCCAACAGAATCATTTATTAGTTTATTAAAAATAAAAAATAAAGATGCACAAACAATATTTGATACAATTGTTAAAGAATTAAAATCTAAAAATATTGATATGACAAAAGTTCGATTTACTGGTTTTGATGGTGCGTCAGTCTTTAGTGGACAATTTAATGGTGTATCAGCAAAATTTCGTCAGATGTATTCAAATTCCATATTATTTATTCATTGCCGTGCTCATGTATTGTAGTTGTGTTTATTATCAGCATGTGAAGATATAATTGAAGTACAAGAAAGTTTATTAACATTGAAATCATTATTTTATTTTATCAATCGATCGTCCATTAGATTAGCACGTTTTAATGATATTCAAATGTTATTAAAACATCCACAGTTAAAATTAATTCAACCTGGTGATACACGATGGTCATCATATTTTCGTTCTGTTAATGCTGTAATCCGTTGTTATGAACCGTTAATGATTACACTGGAGCATATAGTTCATGAAAGAGGTGAAGAAAGTCCATCTGCATCGGGTCTACTTTCAATTTTAAAAGATCAATCAACAACATTCATATTGCATAGTTTAGAACCAATCCTTGAAGCACTTTCAATATTATCGAAATCCATCCAAACAAAGAATGGTGATTTTAATCAGCTTGAAAAATCAATGCTTGGGACATTGTTACGATTAGAAGAATTGAAAGAGACGTTAGTACTAATGAATATAAACAAATATTTGATATTGTTGATAAAATAAAGACATTATCATCAACTAATCTTAATCGTGATCGTATAACACGTGCAACATCAAGAACAAATGAGATTAGTTTAGAGGAAATATTCAATGATAAAATAGTCAAATTTATTGATGAAGTTATATCAAATATAAAAGCTCGTTTTGAATCAAATGCATTAAAATTCCTCAACTGTTTTCGTATATTTGATGTATATGAAGCAACTAATGAACAAGAATATGGTATACAAGAGATTAATACCATCAGACAACAGTATCCTGATGATTTTAATGATGACTTAGTCGCTGAATGGAAAGTATTTCGGAAGTATTTATTTTGTACAAAAACAACAGCAAAAATCTGCAATTTTAACACAACGGCAGCAATGTATTAATTTAGTTGTCTTCTTCACATGTCCGTCATCCGGTGAAACGCACCTATTGGTCGCTTTTAAATCGTTTCCTTACGTTTACTACATCGTATTGGATCACACTAGGAACTTCTATGACGAACTCGATCGA